CTCTGGTGGGTTTTAGCCGTGGATAAATGGTTTGTATATCTAAAGTCCTAGTCCCAATACCAATATGTAATATGTATGTGTTTACGGCACCGCCATATGTCAATTCACTTAAGTATTAATAAAAGTTTGGGGCGGGTGCTACACCCGGGGTATCCCCTAAAATTAAAAAAAAAAAAAAAAAAAAAAAAAAAAATTAGATCCTTCAAAAAAGAAAATTCGGTGCCCTTTTTGTAATGAATTGATTGATTTTAGACCTCAAATTCAACAATATTTAGCTTCAGAAAGTTTTATAGATCAATTCGAAATTTGTCGCATTTATACTTCAGAATCTCGTGTTGTTCTAAATGGAAAAGAGAAAAATTATCCATTAACAATCAATTTTAATAATCTCCCAAAACGCATCGAAAAACTGTTTTCAGAATTATTGAAAATTGTAACCAAACAAACTCAAAGTTTATACAGAGATCAAGTGATAAATGTTTTCAAAAATTATGAAAACAATCCAAGAAAACCTTCTGTACTTATTGGAAGATTTAATAATTTTATTGTAAGTTTATTTTATTTCAAAAATCTCAATATTTCCAGCTAAAATTTTTTTAATATTAAAATCAAATTAGCCAGGCTACTATGGAGCTAAAGGGTTATATATTATTAAATCGACACTTTATAACCTTATTACATCGAAGGAAATAACATATAGTATGACAAAACCTCTGAAGCCTGATGAGTATCTTGATGAAGTACTTGTTCCTGAAACTGCTGTAAGGTTAATCGCTCAGAATCGTCGAGTTGAATTAGACCAAGCAAATGAAATAATGAAAGACAGTGCAGAATTTGGGATGTATATACATGATATTGAGATAGAGATGTGATCGAAACTATAATTAGCAAGAGTTTATAATTAACTATTATTCAGTTGTGTTTCACATTGCTATATTGAGATCTGGGTTATGTATGTTTGTAATTTTTAAATAAAAATTGGTTTTGAATAAAGATACTCTATTGAAATCTGAATAAAGAAGTATGGTTTCCGATATGAAAAAAACCATAATCCAACGGAGATAGTAAATCTAGTGGATTTCATTACTGGATATACATTCGTTGGATAATACTGTAATGCCATATCAGGTATCGATTATTTTCGAATTTTGGCCTAAACTGCTAACTCGGGCCAGATACAGTTATTGGCTGGAGGTGGGGAGCGAGGCGAAAGACTTTAAAGCCTTACTCTATTGAATTTTAAGAATATACGGCTCCCACTTTACTTGACCCAAATTTTAGATTCAAAATAACCAGTGTTGAACTTTCAGTTTACAGTTTATATTTAATCACTAAATCACATATACGATATTAAACTAAGGTTCAAAATTACATTTTAGAATCTTACAATATATGGAATTTTTAGTAAATCAAATTACATATCACATTATAATGAATAATTTTTACATTACAAAAACGAGCATTGAGTAAAACTAAGAAGTTATTACAAATTTAATAAAATAAAATTTTATAGATTTGAGATTAGTGTTGCAAACTATGTAGTTTATTTAATTTTAAGAGTACAATTTATATTAACTCAATTCTACACCAGTTATTATTCCAGCATGAATAAGTTTTGGGACATTGTGTTCCCTTCCTATGAAATATAGCTTTATATCTTACTAAACAATTTGAACATTTGATTCTTTCCTCCCATTCTTGAGGCAATTTCGAATCATAACTCACAATTTCAGGCAATTTTAGCACAAACCAACAATTATTCGCATTATGAGTAGTTTTTTGACACCATTTGCACCACTTATAGTTTCCATATTCAACTTCGTCCCAATTCCAATCAATTATAGCATCACAAAGACAATTGTATTTCCTGCTTTTTAGGCAACAATTACACACATTTTTCCTTTTTCGCCCTATGGGAGAGGGGGATCTATTGGTTTGGGACCCCAGCCATCTTGCATTTGGTCTAGAGTAAATACAGTTATTATTGGTAATATCTCATAAATATGAAATTATTTAAATGTACTCACTAGACATTATTAGAAAAGTATAATTTTAGTGATTTGATATTAGTACCATGTACGCTTCATTTTTTTGTCTCTGAAATGATTTGACTATAACGATAATATGACAAAAACACAAATAAACAAGCATTTAAATACTTTTCTACACGTTATATTGAATATAGTACTGTATACGTAAAAAAATTTCATGCACGCATATATACTATTGCTGTATATTTGAGGCAAGATATGTAATATATTACAGTTTACTTTATTAAGTAGCAGTATCACATTGTTTTTAAGCATAATGCGCATTACCAGAATTTATTATAGTACAGCAATATATAAGTTATATATATATTTCTGAATTTGCGTTAGCCTAGAGATGTGATCCGTTATCTGTTTTCCTATTTAAAAATTACGGATATCCGGATCACATCTCTACGTTAGCCGTTAAATACAGTATTAGATAAACATTATTGATAATACAGTACCAGTTTATCATATTATTGGACAAATAAATATATAGTGGTAGTTCTGTCCTGCATCTCATATATAATCTCGTATATAATAATCGCTAGCGCTATATATTTGTTATCATTACAATATTTATTAGTCTTTTACTTGAGTTTTATATTTTAGATTTTTTACATTTGTTATTAATTTCGAATTTGTAGTTAAAAATGAATAATTTTTATTTGAAATATTTTAATAAAAATTATTACATACAAACTACTTTAGATTGAAATATTATTAGTATTGGCTAATATATCATTTTGATGTTAATTATATTATTTACTTTTTAATTTATTTGTCTTATCTTCTAATTTTAAAATTGTTTCGATTACGTGCTTAGGGCAATTTATTTAGAATTCAGATAATTATTATTGATATAAGCGCCACATGATTCTGCGGACCCATGGGACTACAGAATTATATGATCATGTATTATATATTTGCTATCAAAATTGTAAAAGCATACCTTGCCATAACTTACTGGTTATATTGTTAATTTTTTCAATATTGCTGTTTTTTTTTATCCAAAGAATTCCATGAATTAAAATCCTTTTGAAAAATCATAAAACTATATTGAAAATTAGACTTTTTCCAGTAGATAAAGAGAGCAATTAATTTTCTTAAGGGAAGAAATGTCTTGGATTCAAGTTTGTAAATCTCTTGAATTGTAAAAAACTTATTAATTATATTTTCAATTTTTTTAAATTGAACCACCATCTTCTAAATACGTGAATATTATTGAAATTTTGAAAAGATATAAATGTTGTCTTATATAAATGTATGCTTGATTAGACGTCAATTATGATAAATATTTAGATAGTATCAGGTATTTATTGGTTACCTAAGAATAATTTTATTTTTATTTGGTTAATAATGAAGTTTTAATCAAGTGACGGTAACTAACATAAATAAAAATAATTATATATTTAATATTGGGTTTATCATTATCGTTATGTAATCTTTATTTATTATTAGACTTATCCAATTAAATCAAAAAATAGTTCAAATCTCTAAAGTATAAATAATTTCGATTGTTATCTCAAATTGTATTCTTATTCATAACTGACAATTTGCTTTCGCATTAATATTTATATCGAAAAATACCTTAAAGGTGAGAGAGACTACGAATGATTCAGGTGCTACTAAGACTGGTATATTCGAAGCAAATATGTACCTGGCAGAAGATCGTATTTTAAGCTTTGAACTCGTCATTAAGAAAAATGAATCATGGAAATTAAAATACATAAAGGTAAAAATTTATTGACGCGGCTGATGCCGAATTTGACTGATACAAAACTAGAAACACAGCAAAAACCACATGTAATCTTTAAATTCAAATATACCCAAACCCACCCACCTATAAAACGAAACCAGAAAAAACAATTCAAAAATTCTAAATTTATCTTTCAAATTTGGCTGTTTAAAAAACACAAGTCTCTCAAATAGAAAATTTTCTCAAACTTTGAACGAACATATCGACAATTATCAATCAAATTTTGATTACCGTAATTTTTTTTTTATTTGAATTCTACCAATATAGAATTCAAATAAAAAATAAAAGTTTATCAAAATTGATATTCGCACAAAGTTCAAGAAAAATTCCATTAAATTTTTTAACTTTAGCAAAGGTTACTTGACAACCACCAGGTCAAATTTAATGAACTTTTTTTATTTGAATTCAACAAATCAGTAGAATTCATAAAAAAAACAAAATTTGTTAAATTTTGCCTAATGTCGTTTTCAAAATTTACGGAAAGATGCAGACCACTATACCAGCGATTTTTTATATTTAGGAATTTTTTTGTTTAAAAAAAGAATAAAACAATTTGGCTTATTTCAATATAAATCATAATAATTATTCCAATGCTAGTAAAAAACAGTATTTCGAGTAAATTCTAAGTGATATTACAATTTTATCAATTCTATCAGAATTATTCTGATCTATAGTAAAATAATGAAAATTTCCACCTTGACATCATATCAACTGTAAGGTTATAATTGATTTCATAATACCACATGATTTAGAGGACCCATGGGTCTGTAAATTTGCGTGATTTAACATAATAATCATTACAACATTATTGTATGACCAGAATTGTGCCATAGAATTTGAATTGAACAAATTAGTTTTTAAACCAAAAACGCAAAACAAATTGTTTTGATCATCATTTGCCAACCAATCAGAGAATTTAGAGTATTTAAACCAAAAAGGCAATTCCTTTTTGGTTTAAATACGCTAAATTCTCTGATTGGTTGGTATTGTAATTTTTAGAGTAAATAGTTTATTTAATGATGCTTTATCTTATATTGAGCCTAAAAAATGTAAAAAGGGTAAAGAAATTGTTTTGTGAATTCGATGGACATTTAATAATTTTATATAAAAAAAAATTTATTATAAAAAAAAATATATGTAATGAAATATTTCGTTTTTCGAAGCCGAGGGCAGACTGGTGTCGACATTGGAATGGTTGATGCTGCTGTTCTCGAAAATAGATCTAGAATAGTATATAGCGATAGCAGTCGACTTATCATAAAAATAAGCAATGTACAATTTATTATTACTGGATTCTGCCCAAAAGGTTGAAAATGTGAAAATGGAAAAATTGATAATTTTAATAAACAAATGGAACATTAACGTCTAAATACTTTACCACAGCTAATTTCATATTGTCATTAACAGGCCTGTGTAAGCAGATGCTAGGGTATTGAGCTTACGTGTGGTATTATTTCTACACACCAATTTACACGTTTAATTTTTAGTGTTATAATTTCGTCAGTTTGATTGCATTTGTGAGAAAATTTTTTAATTCTGCACAGGTGTATTCACTTAAGTTGTACATTTGATTCTTGTTGTAAATAAGGCATAAGAATCCAAGATGCTTGAAAGGCTGGATGCTGTTTACATTTCTAATTGAAAAGAAGAAAATCACATGCAACCACATATAGTCTTTTAGAAATATTCCCCCTGAGTCTTTTTTCATATCTATAAATAAGTCAATTTTTTGTATTGTATTTGGTTTTTAAAAAAAATAATTTCAGTCACGTTTTGCATATGGAGACAATAAAAAATATTTTAGAAAGTCGCAGACTTCTGGACAAGAATAGTCCAATAAATTCAATTAAAGCTCACTTCGTAAATTTGTATATTTTAGTTTTTTCTCATCAATATTCTAATATACAAAAGTAAAATTGATTTGTAAATTTTTTATTTCTTAAATTTATAAACTTACCATAGGGGTCTGCAAATGCCCATGCCCAGCACATTGGCAGGCCGGGCACTAGTGCCTTGTGCCTTGTGCCGTGCCCGTGCCTGTGCCAGGCACTATTAAAGGCATAGGCACTTAGTGCCAGGCACT